GCTTCAAGATTCTAGCACGTGTTTCGGGCACCAAGCAGTTTGTATGATACTACTGTAATGATATCTTCAGCCAACTACTTCAACTGGAGGCTATGCGAATTCTCACCCATTATGCTCTCGGATCAAAGGAACTTTAAACATTCAATTCCATGCGGTCCGTGCGCAGCAACAGTATTCATGAAGAAGCCAACATGGCCAATGCAGGAACACACACACATCAAGAAATCCTCGCACGCTGTCAAGCTTCAGCGAGTTGCATCGCTTGAATGCACAGCTTCACAAACTCAGCAGAAGTATATATACTGACTGAAGAGAAAAAACTCAGCAGAAGTAAATACTGAAGAACAACCATCCCACACCTTTTACATGACTAAAACCATGTAACACACATGTAAAAACAACCGTAGAACATCATACTAAGAACATACTTCATAGGGTACGTAGCCGTTCATAGCCCGTCCACATCTTTGGTGTCGAGTTGCGCGACCGCAGCCTTCTCGTCGGTCTTCAATTTGGACAGCAAGCTGACCTGCGCCAGGCGGCCACGTGTTGGTCTCGGGTAAAGATGGTAAAGTAAAGAACATGATGTTCACATATGCTTAAGCTGTTTGGTAAAAGTTGTAACTTGGAAGAAGCATGTACCAGAAGTCATGAGACTAGAGTACCTTCCCAGGGACCCGAGTCCATTTGTCTCCAATGGACCCTCTGGAGATCTGATCTGTGCGACTTTTGGGGAGAAAAAATGCCATGTTAGGTAGAGCCTGTGCCTGCTCCCACTTAGTGATGCCTCTGGTCCACTGGTCTTTCATCAACAAACCCTTGTATGACCAATGGTAGTCTCAAATACAATCATCCTATATCTGGATAAATCGCACAAACACCGGAGAGCTCGGCATTTTGCTGCTAAAGTTGCTAAATGCTGCAAATCTGCCAAATGTTAATGACACCAATGATGACACCCCGCAAGGAGAGGTTTGGAAGATGAGAACTTCCTCTGAAAATGCATGATCTTTCGGAGTCCATTAGTCTTCAACCCCACATGACACCGTAGCTGCTGCCCCTCATCTGCCTTGGGACGAGCAGTGAAAGTCAAAAACTGCCACAAAGTTGAAAAGCAAACTTGCTCTTGTGCGGTTTTTCATGGTGTTTCTAGTTCCACCCACTAGGCTGGCTGCGCTCGCGGCTGCGGATCAGCAGGTGGCCTTGTCCAAATACTTGATGTACTCCTGCGTCCAAATTCCGTCGTGGACCCCAAATCCCCGGTAGACGACCCGGGACCTCGCTCTGCAGTCCAACAAGTAATCCGCCCATCTCAAGACAGTGGGGCCCTTGTTTTTTTTTGGGGGGTGGGATAGCAAGTATCGCAGTCGTAGTTCATCCGTTCAGCTTTCAGAGTTCACCAAACATACTTACTTTCCTGGTGGTTTTATCATGTTTGATTACATTTGAGTGTATCAAAAGTGTATATGGTTCGAGTTCACTTTCCTTGCGCTGATGTGTTTTTTTACAGTAATCCGGTCTTATTCAGACAAGCCCATCTGGGGGCAAATGCAGATGTTTCGAGAACTGCCAGGATGTTTCTTTGTGCTTGCGAACCTTCAGCTGGTAACCCGCAAAAACTAATACATCAAGGATCGTCTCTGCGTGCTTAGGAGGATGAGGACTTCCCTCAAGCCCAACGAGCTCGAGTGATATGTTTAGCTTGTGACCATGATGTATGCATGTTTATTCCATCTAAAAACATTTTCACAACATCTTCAGCTTCAGCTTGCAAACCGGTAGCGACCGGTCGCCCTGTTCATCATCGCCCGGTACCGAGCCGAGCCGCCTTGACGATGTCGTCGGCGGACTTTTCCAGCGTGGACTTGAAGGTGCGCCGATCGATGACCCACACCTCGGCCGGGGATCGACATGTGACCCCGCATCGGTGCTGGTCACATCGCTGGTCTGACTCTTCTTAGTGAAAACGGTCAGAAAGGGTACGGTGGGTTTGTTTCTTCGGCAGGTTCTGGTCCGAGGGGGGAAAAGGTCGAGGAGATGGGCTTGAAATGGATCCAAAAGCTGAAGGTGGTTGTGAACATGTTGTCACCACTGTGTCCACTATTGTCCACTAAGTCGCAGGCTATGACCAGTGGACACTGTCTGTCTACCAGAGTCTACGACCACCCAGATTCGGAAGGCTATCTGGCTATCTGCTCTTCTGATACTGCTCTCTGATGGAGCTCGCTCTGAAGATCTTGCAGTATCCATCAACACCCCATCCTGGACTCCTTGTGGCTCCAACCACATCCTCAGGTTCGGTAGTTAGACCCCCAAAACCTACCTCACTTTCGTTTCACAGAGGCCAGGAGCCCATCCTGGACGAAGAAGACCTCATTCATCCGGCCAGCACGGAATACATGAGTGGTATGAGACATCCGGGGCACCACAGACTCTTCCAATGCTTTCACCGTGGCAGCTCGCGGGGCGAAGTAAAGAAGCGCCAACCTGCCAGAAAGGCTCATCACTTTGAAATGGAAAGGTTCAGAGCTTTTGTATATATAGATATATATAGATTGTTTTTTCGCTTTTATCTAGGGTGCTATAGCCAAGTGAGTTGGATGTTGTTTATCTTTTCCAAATACAGGGTGCTGGTAGACAAGTGAGAGAAGGCAGGGAAAGCAGGTGAATTCACCCGAGGGCCAGAAATCCTCCATCTCTAGCATGCTGATGTTGAACGTGAAATCCGGAAGGCGAGCCACATGGAGGGCCGGTTCCAATCCAGGATGAGGCCGGTATCACTTGGGGTGTCCGACCGATTCTGCGTGACGCTCGTCTCGATCGATCCGGATGCGGTCGCATGTACGGGACGCGAAAAACCGCTTGCCACAGTGCTGTTTACACGGCATCCCTGGACCCGGACCCTCCAACATGGAAGGAAAGCCGACCATCTTGATGAACTTGAAGAGACCGAATAGCCCAAAGACGCTAATTGAATTAGGATTGAATTAGGTTGTTTGAAATTCAGTGCAAGGCTCCGCTTTTTCATGAGTTCATCTGGGGTCTGATCTATCTTCCAGATGCAGATTGATCTGGGTCTTGCACGTGCATGACCAAACAGTCCAGACCCGCCAAATGGGTCTGTGTTACGCAGGACAGCACAAGTAATGCCTGCAACAGTCCAGTCAAGTCGTGCCATGTCACTCGAGCAGTCCATGTTTGTTCACTTCCATGTCAGTGACTGACTGAGGATTTGGGCGGACTTCCATGTATTTGGTGAGTCAAGGCACTCTCCAAAGCTTCCACCCGCAGCCACCACGCCCAAATTATCGGCGGCAGCCTGAGGAGAGACAGTGGAGTCCCCAAGGGTCGCAGATGATCTGTGGGGAGTGGGGAGTTCAAGCAGTTTGCATTCATTTGCATAAAGCAGCTTTAAGAGCACAATTTGGAGTAAATGGTTCCAGTTTCTACAAGCCTTTGAAAAAGAAACTCATTGTTCCAGCCAGCACGTCCAACAAGCAGGCCATGTCACAACACATTATCCTGCATGAGCAGGTCCTGTCATGGCTTGGCATGCCCTCCGATCCCTCCCAGGGATGCCACACGTGGGGTGAGTAGTGTCAAGTCAAGTCCTAAACAATGAAGTGGGAAAGAGTAGTCGTAAAAAAGGCTTTCGCTCATGTTTTTCTAAACCACTGAATAGTTTTTGGCAGTGAAATAAAACATAACTGACTCAGGGAACGTGTTTTTAATCATAGTTAATAGTGTGTCTACTCAATTAATGCGAAAACATGGAACCCTGGAAAACTATTCCTATAGTTTTCTATTTGTCTGCTACTTGTTCCTCATCCTCTACTACTACTACTACTACTACTACTACTACTACTGCTACTTCTACTACTGTACTACTACCATTATTGTTATTATTGCATACAATAATTAGATTTTTGGGGGTGGGCTGCCTCTATTCACTCTCCCTCAAGTGCTTGCTCATGTGGGAGTTGACCATTTAAGATCCAAGAGTACATCCACATGCCCCTCATATCTTCTTATCAGCTCAACCATCTCAAACAGCCACCAAAAATGGGCCACCCCACCGGAGGGTCCACCCAACCGATTGGCTCCGATCCGCTTGGATTGCAGCGGCGCTGTCCCTGTCTCTGTCCGCCTTGGCGGAGTCCGCACTTTGCGGCTCTGTGCTCTTGGACAAGGAGATGGCGAACTTGCCCTTCTGCACCTGCGAGTTCGAGGTGGTGCCATGGCGGATCAACACTTGGGTAAGGCGAAGGTGTCAATTGGAAGGCGTGTCAGGCTGACAAAGCATACACTGTAAGGAAGACAAACAACATAAGCGACCACTATCGACCACTTAGTCAAACAGTTGCGTGTCAAACATTGAGCATCTCTCAGCTCTACGAGGTCTACCCGTTTGGTAAACCTCTTCGACACCAGGTAGAAAGACTCCCCTGACCATCCGGAACTTGTATTAAGATTATTTAAACAAAAAAAACAATTCCCTTCGCAACGCTTTTGTGGCGGCATGTGTTGCTTTCGCCGTATCTTCACGAACCTTTCGCCAACCTTTCTCCTCGTTATCACGAATCTTTGGGACAAAAGAACTATATACCATTTAGATGACATGCTTTGTACTGGAAACCTCTTGCGCCAGCCCTTTCGCAACAAAATCCGTTCATCAAAAATTCAGAACCTCTCTCCACACCTTTCGCCAAGCTTTCCCCAACTGCAGTTTTCATTTCGCAAAGATTCATACCCTTAAGTCCTAGCTAAATTCTTTCATAGAGGTTTATGACGTTGCTCCCCTGAGGCCCGCATGTTCTGAGGAAAGGACGATGTAAAAGTAGTCCGCGTTGAGATCGCCTTCCTGCATTGATATCCATCGTTTCACGATGCAAGCAAAGTCGGTGTTGAGATGTGTGAAGCGAATCCTGGGAACAACGACCACATCCTTTCCAGATCGGTTGGACATTTCCTCAGTTCTTGGACAAATCATCCATGCCGACTCATAAACTCAGCCTGCTCGCGGTGTGGAGCCTCTTTGCCCCCTCCTGAATGAGTTCCTTGCCCATGGGCACGTTCTCTTTCCATGCGGCATCGATCAGCAGCGCAATCTTCTTGTCGTCCAATGGCACGCAGCTTTGCCTGACACCCAATGCAGCATGTGAGCTATAGGGTTACAACTGTAAAGATACCCCTTTCCCTGTTCTTGGAGGGGTCGTTACATAGATGATAGTAATCGTAATTGATACCCCTTCATACATGGTAAATACTACACATAATATGATATCTGTCTATATATAATTACATCTAACTATAATATATATAGGTTGCAAAAGGCCTTAAGGGATCTCTGGTTCCATTACTTCTGACCTAGGATCAACATGATAGTTACTGATAGTTTCAGATCCAATTGTCGAGTCAAATCTATAATATATATATATATGTATCAATGTTAATAGTCTCTTGTCGAAAACAGAGCAGCACTCGCCAACTTAAGAAGCCAAATCCACCTCACGTTTCAACATCCACAGCTGTTCTCGCTGAGCATGCTGCGTCACAAACTGGTGCTGCCAAGTGTCAGATTATCATTTTTCTTGAGGGCATCCGACATCAACTTGCGCTCCTGGCGAAGGCAATTTCGGCACATTGGCTTAGCAAATACCTGAAATCCCCATCTCCAACACACGATAACACCATGAGTTTACACGGGCTTTTGAACTGTTCGCCCATCTTTGTTCATCATCACTCCCCGGAAAGACCACTAACACATACTAACTGTCTACTTCACGCGATCACAACAAGGGTTAATGCGTTTCCCAAATTCCTCATGAGAACTTCCTCCACCCAGTTCAGCAGCAAATCCGGGCTCAGATCCACAGGCAGCGGCATCACCAAAGAGATCAATTTTTGCTACTCAAAGACCCCACCAATCATCCAACATCTTGAGGATTCCTCACTGATCTCTATGCTGGATGCTCAAAACCCCAAATCTTGGCTCTCCCACGTTCACTGACAAAACACTGAAAAACCTCTCCCAGTTAGAGGAAACTCCTCATCCCAGGCCGGCCCACGTTTCTTCATGGGCAACATATTACTTGTTAAACAATGTTTCTTCATGGGCCTCCAAAAATATGCTAGGCCTGCAAGGCTCAAACGTTCCAAAAAAGAACCTCCCCTCCCTGGCGAAAACAGCAATCCTCCGCGGTCTTTGGACTAGGAGGCTTGACCTGTGATGCTTCGGATCTCTGCGGAGCCCGCGAAACACCTTCGACTCCAAGGGAAGATTCTGCAAATGATGAGAACTACGGGCTTGTTGGGATGTGGCGACGCGGGGACGGTGGACATGGATGTGGGTGTGGGTGTTGGTGGGTGGCAAATGATCCTGTTCTATGACGTTTTGCCCATCCAGGAATGGACCCAAATGATTCGCAATATGTTCAAGATGAGCCAACAATGAACATCTCCAAGATGAACAAAAAAATCCACAATGGTCATGCATCAAAAACCACAACCGCTTGGTGGGCATGGTAGACAGTTTGGGATTCATCTAAACCTTTGGAGGTCTTTCGTCACGGCAAGAATGACCGCTGCAGTTCACAGGCATTGCTTCGCTCCCCATCCTGTATCACCGAACAACCGGTTGTAGCCCCTTCGTCCTGGACGTCCGACGGATGAGGCCACACCCGGAGGGCGGGCCGACAAGCCTAAGCTCCACCCGCCCACCTCAAGCTCCTTGATGGCTCCACCAGCCACGGCCTAGACATATGTGATTTCGTGTGTTTCTCGTCGTGAAAGGGAAGAAGTGTCAAGGCGCGGCCTTTTGGTTCAGAGCAGGAACTTGGAGAGTGAACTACCTTCAACATTGTAGCCTTTCATTTCATTGTGGAGCTCATTAGCAACCTGCTTTAAACAACCATTCATTGAAATCCCTTGACTGACCCTTAGATTGGGCCATTCCATGAAATTTCATGAATGACTGAGGATCATTTGGGCATATTCTTCGTATACAAGGCGACTTCTATACAACAGGGACGAATGAGCGTTTTTGTTGGTGCCTAGCTCTAAGGAAGGCTCTAGCACCCAGCTCTGTGCAGCTCCATGGGGAGACCCAAAACATCCCAGAACCGGGTAGACGGGTATTTCCCTTCTTCCGGGCAGGTCGAACTGGGAGGTCTCCCTATTTAAATACACACCCACGACACCCACCAAGGCTTTCTTGCTCAACGACAGGCTGGTGGTCAGTAGGGGATTAGAAAATGAACCCCGAATAGAGATTTCATTGGATCCATTCCGTGATTCCTTGCGAGTCGCACCAGTCAGAAGATTCAACAAGCTTCAGCTCTGGACTACCTGATTACCTGGTGAACATGTTGCCCCGGCTGCTTCTGCGGCTTCCACCGGCCTTTCGGATGGGGAAGTCCAACTTCTCTCTGAGGCCCATCTCCTGCTCTGTTTGTTCCCCGGCATCGGAGTGCGGTGGAGAAAGGTCGTCCAACACCGATGAGTCGACATCGGTGCTTCCGTGACAAACTGATGGGTTTGGTCCAAAGCCAGTATACCCAGACACTCGGTACACCCAGACACTCCATGTATGGTATATATATATATATTATATATGCCTGCATTGACCCCAGGTCAACCACCCCAATGTATGTAAAATATGCCAGTCACGTGAAGTGTCTGGATATATATATATATATAAATCTATACAGTAATTATATCTAAAAAAAAATGTTAGGGTTGCGCATCCACCGTGATCTCGAGAGGCAGGTTGCTTGGGCATCTCATGATGACCTTGTGTGTAAGAAACGGCCAAAACCGGAACCACCAACCAAAAAAGGAAGTCTGCCACCCCATTTTTTGCTAGGGTTGTACAGCAAATACCAGCAAATCTGCCCATAACACATGGAAGGCTATTGATCCCAAACAAACAAAGCAGTTCCAACATGGACACTAGACCTGTGGTTTCCGCAAAGGAACGGCTTGTGTGTTACCAAACTTGTCCATCCCCAATCAGACACGCACAAACAAACATAAATGATAACACAAACAAACAAACCAAGTAATGCTCACTATGACTCTACTGCAGACATACAGTATATATAGTATTTGATGTATTTTGTATCTAATCCTGGGTGGTCGACCACAGTGACACACACACACTTTCCGTACAATATCGACCACACAACCCTCATCTCCTCGAACACGTTGCGAGAAATCCTGGCGTGACATTGGGTAACCGGCAGAGCTTGGCAAGGAAACATTCCCGAAGCTTTAGAAATCGCCATGGAAGCACATGAATGGGTTTGAAGATCATGAGCTTGTTCCAACAACAGTATGGGTGCTAATGGGGGAGGTGCAATTGGGTGAAGTCGTGTTAGAGCGGCCAATAAGCTACAATGATCGTTTGCATGTTTGTTTCTTCAGACAAGCCTGTATACTTACACATCAAGAAAATGATGAAACCAAACGAATTGAATCATTGAACCTTCTGCTGCTGTTGTTGTCGTCCTGGAATGCAACATCAATGTTGGTGTTTTCCGAAGCAATGGCATTTTCATCTGTGTTTCCACCTAGGCCTCGCTTCAGCACTCCTTTCCCGGAGAAACACCATCGAAAATGAACCAAAAAGAACACACCCCAACCGACCCTCCCGACTTCGCCGACCACGCAGTGGCGCCACCTGAATGTAAAGAGCTCCGACTTGGCCAAGATCGTCGCGGAGCGAGGCTCGTCCCGAAGCAGGGCGTTCTCGCCAAAGTAGTCGCCTCGACGAAGGGCGCGGAGTCCGCACGGGGTGCTGTTTCGGTGACGCGTGACCGCGTTGCATCAGATGTGCTGCCGGAGCTTCTTTTCTCCGTGATGATTCAGGTAGCAGGAATTGGGACAAGAATGCAAATCGGGCCTGGGTGTCATGAGAAAAGTGATACCTTTTGTCCGAAACACTTGGCAATCCGTGAAGCAAACTGTACATGAGGCATGAGGGAGGATATTTTGTTGAAGTCTTTCGTTGCCAGCGAGTGCGGATGCGTAGGGCTGCAAGGATATATAAGGCAAATATATTTGAACTGCTGAACCGGTGACTTGGACATTTCTCAGCAATCTTCCCTGATTCGCACCATCAGAAAGACATGAGCACACCATGGAATTGAAACAAAACCATAACAAACATTCACACTAGAGAGTGCCAGAACTGCTCACAGAATCGCATCAAACACACCAAAGCCCGCACAAAACGAGGTTCAAACAATTGCAGTTCATCGCTTGCGAACTACACAAATGCGACGACGTTCCTAGAATGCTCTTCCCAAGCTACATTCGGGACGACTTTGGCACTTTCCCTGTAGTTGTAAGGGTCAAAACATGTGAAAACTGAGGCTCTGCTCTACTCTGAGACTTTGGGCAACAAAAACACATGTCACCTGAAATCCAGTTCCGGCCTTCTTTTAGAAGGGCCACCTGCCGCCCGCCCACGACCACCGCCGCCTTGGGTCACAGGAAACAAACGAAATGCATCATAGCTCAGTCGTCTGTGCTCCATGCAGGTTTCTTCCAACGTATTCATATAGTTATATAAGTTATATATATATACATATATCATGTCTTTTGAAGGTTTTCCAAGGATTCTGTATATAGTGCAAATATGTTCAAACATATGCATATATATCTACGCAAATAGGATCAAACATGTGCAAATAAGGTTATCGGTGTGTTCTCCTGCGTGACTGACACCACAGGATTGTATCCCAGCGACATCATGAGGGTCTCCGGAAGTGGCGGGGCCCATTGCTGTGGTGTGCAACTGGCAAGTCAACATTGAAGGACATCATGCCCTGCACTTCAAAAAACATCTGAAAAGGAACACACACATGAAAGACCCAAACAGGCTGGTTCCCCCAATGACTGGTTGCCCTTTGGTCAACGAGCTGCATCCCCAGAGCGGATGATGAAGAACGCGTCACCGGGATCTCCTTCCTTGATGACCTCGGAAATGCGGAAGAAGGTCCCGTTCGGGGACCAGGCGGAAGCGCTCTCAGTGGTTCAGTCGACTCCAGGTGAGTCCTGTCTAGTCTGGAGTCTAGAGAAAGCAAAGAGTTAACACTGCCTGAAACAATCATGGAAGTGGACGGCATGGCCCATATCGCCTGGCTTCTCAAAGTCAGTTAAAACATCTAGTTTCTCAAACAGGTCGGGATTTTCTAGCAACACCTCAAGAAGAACACGTTGTCCAAACATGTCAAACAAGCTGGACAAGGTATACGGAGTCATGTCACCTTGGCCCAGAAACCAGAAGTGTGATATAATGTCCAGCACCTATCAGCCATAGGCATTTCCAAACAATAATGTTACAGTAATGCTAATGTGCATGTGATTGTGAGGACAGTTCACTAGTTTGGTTAATTTTGATATAGACGTGATATATATATATATATATATTTTTTTGTCAGGAATTGTGAGAACAGTTTTGACATGTTTTGACATATTTTGGGAACTTTTGATATTGACATGATGAAATACCTGTGCTCAGTGCTCGAGGGACATGATATGGACATGTTTGGCAGCCTGGCGAACAAAATACCTCATCAAACTGATTGAGGATGTGATGACAGGTGAATCTATGTGATGTGTCTCGCGAATGATGTGTTTTTTTTGTATGTTTTTACGGACCGGATAATACCATAAAAACTACAAAAAACAAATTGCAACAACTTTGCCGATCGGCTCCCAATGTGTAACCCCTCTTGTCTCTCCATATTCGAAGTCGCTGAACACCTTGCCGCCCAGGAGCTGTGTCACCTGATTTGAAATTTGTCGCTTCACAAGCGCTGACCAGGGTGGGCATCTGTCCTTGTGCGAATGGCCAAACGAGGCCAAATGCTAAGAATGAACTGGACACGAGAGGTGAGAGTTGTTTTGGGAAGGCAGGCTGGCATAGCAAGCAGCCTCAGGAGTGGTCATTCCCAAGTTGTAAATACATGGCATGAACCAAAACAATGATGTTCCAATTGTCATTGTACTCGTTGTATGTATATACTATATACGATACAAATATATTTGTTTACAAATGCACCTAATTGCTATGCATAAGTTGCTGTTATGTCCCACTGAGGTATAAGTAAAGCAATTCGATTGATGAGAGGAGAGCTCACTTTTCCCCCCTGCTCAGGCCCAGTCCCGTTGTTTACGGATCTGATGGCCATCAAGGAGTGATAGTGAGCTGCCCAAAACAGTGATGTCTAAAATGACATGGAAGAGAAGTTATTCTCCCTGAAAAAGCCAACTCATGTCTTCTCTTCTGGCATTGGTTCAATCTTTTCGAAATACCTACACTCACATCGGCTTAATTATAGGTAAAATGCCTCCCCGAGCTTCCTTTGGACTTGCAATTAGAAATTAGAAACGTTCCAATCCAAGTCAACCTTTTGTGCCTCTAGTCTAGGTCTTTCCAACCTGACCTCAGGACTTCTCATGACTTCTCCGCAGCTTCAAATCGCCCAACGCACTCCTTCAGGAAGACGCTGAAAGAGCTTCACCTGAAAGGCTTGTGAGTCTTTAATTTGGTCCAGAAGGAAACCATGACAGGATGTTTATGGCAGACTGCCAGCAACAACTTCAACACCCCCGGCTTTTCTGACAGGAACACGTAAAACCGGATGCTTGAAACTCTATGAGACTCTAGGTCTACAACTTGGCAACTGTTGGCCTGTTCTCTCGGCAAAAATGTGTCATGTGTATCTGAAAGTGTTTGGTCACCTCCAAGAGACGTGCTGGAGGGTCCGGTCCTCTTGGGTACCTTATTAATTCTGAAACAGAGACAGGCCAAGATGTTGAACATGCCACCCTGGGACCCATTGATATGGATAATTCACACTTGGTTTAGGTCCAGGTGGAATCGGTTTCATCGCCCTTTGAGCTGAACATCTCTTGTAACTATTGTCACCAACCCGAAATACGAGGTCCCCTGATGAAGGACGTGTTCGTTCATTCTTCGGTGCTTTCAAACAGAACCAAACGCGGAGAGCGCGCGCAGCTCCGCGGACGCGACAGCTCCGCGCCTGCTGTAGGAATCTCCCCGGCTCAGAATCCACGACCGCAGGCTTGGTACCTTAAATGCCAGCGGAGCGGAGCAGCTGGTGCGACCAGCTGCTGGTCGATATCAACCAGCAGTGGATCTGTCATGTTGACTGAATTTTTGCACACCTGTGATCTGGTCCAACATCTCCAATATGGGAGGCTTCATTCATCGGTCAACCTGTAGGTGATGACACATCAGACAGGGCGTGTTCATGTTAGTCTGTTAGTCCAACTCTCTAGCACTGCGGGCGCGTCAATGGCGAACAAGGGCCACTGGCAGCATGATTTCTGGTGTGGGGGGAGGTTGAAGTTCTGTCGATGGGACAAAGGAAGTCAAGGAAGTCGAGAAGTGTGAGACAGATGAAGGTGAGACAGAAGCGTGATCAGTCCTGGCCGGTCGTTCCTTCAGGTCATGAAAGCCGTCACAGCAACATGATGTGAACAGTCAAATAATTTGATCTTAAGTTATCTTAAAACTTAAAACTGAACAAAACTTTCTTTGCCTTCTTTCTCGGCTAAGGAAGCAGCACATTCTTTCGCAACTGATCACGGTCTATCAGAGCATCAAGGATCGTTTCTTTTTGTATGATTTACGACAGGAATCCCGCTAGTCTGTGGATTGGGTTGATTCCAAAGACTTGTAGACGATCCCAGGGTCGCTTGGCATGAAGCATGGCGCAGTTCATTTTTGGCAAAATGACCGGTTCTCAGCCTAATTACCGAGTCTGCTTTTACTGAACCTTTTTTTTAATTCGTTGTCTGCCCAGGGCTGGTGTTGTCTGCTCAGTTTCGACCCAGTGAGGCCAGTTTCGACCTTGGAAGGCCTCCTAAACGAACTGAAAAGAGAAGGGATCTCCGATTGGAACGAGATCTCAACGCCTTGAACTACGAAAGCACCTCAAACACGTGAGTCACATACTACTCTATCTCAGACCTGTACAGAATTTCTTGCTTCTCAACAGTACTGTCAGTACTGGGCCTCTCTGTCTTGTGGTTTAGCTGCCGTTTCCTGCGCCAAAAAAACAATCGCACATCTTTGAACACTTGACCCTGCTTCATCATCTTTCCACCCCAAACACTGTTTCTCCTTGATCCCCGCTCCCCCGCGAAACATGCGCTGTGCTTTGTGCTTCGCCCGCTTCGCCAAGACGCTTTTCTGCTCAGGCGTATGGGCTTGAAAGTCCTGGTGCTACGTGCTAGAGTCTCGTGGCCACTCAGACATGACCCGGCGCCCGGTACCCCCGAAATGCGTAGTATGATCTACATAACAACATGTAACGACTATATATATACAAAATTATACATATAACATATATAGCATTATGTATCTAATATAGGTTGCATGACTCACGAAAGCAGGACTCACGAAGGTATGACTAAAATACAAAGACATATAAATAAGACACTTCCATGTTTGCTGGAGAGTACATTACTTGATCGTACCACCAGCAAGCAACAAAACATAACAAACCTGAAAAAGGATCTTCCCATCTGGATAGATGTGACTCTCATGTGATCGTTCTGGACTCGCAGGTGCATGGCAGGTCGCCTCTGGAGCATTGCTGCAGTCTTTGCAAAGCAGCGACCCCATGACTGCCGCCTCAGCACACTCAAACACATGCCATGTGTTTGTATTTTTTTAAACGTTCCCATCAGAAAGGCCACGCTATGAAATTGAAAAGCATGCAATAAACGTACATTACATACTTTACACTGCTATACCCACTATTGTACACTTGACACACACACACATTAACATTGTACACTTAAAACAACTGAGAATTAGAACAAGTTGGTGTCCAACAAAGCATAATCGAACCACCCTGCATGACTGCTGAAGTGTCGATAACTGTCGTGCACGCATCCATACCATATCTGCCAATATCTGCGGCCCCCGACCTTGGGAATCCCAAAAAAGCCGTCGACCAAGAGTGCTTGAGCCGGCAAAATCCGTACAGAAAATCCCTGAAAAGGTGAAGTTTCCAGTCATGTCAGCTTCTTGAATTCTATGGCACTCCCAGGATGTGAAAATGGTTCCAAACTCGTCCAAAGACCTTCTGCCACTGTGAGAGCGCTCTCACAGCTCCATAGCGCTCCCCCTTTTTTCGCGCATCAGTGGGACCGGAGCAGCGTGGCACCCTTCAGGTGGCAAAAGGCCGCTCGGCAGGTGATCTCTCCGCGATCCTGAGCGGAGCGAAGGCACACGAGGAAGTCAGGGAAGTCGAAGCGATCCTATAGGAAGCGCTCATCAAAAGTGGCTCCTCAATGCTTTTCAATTGTTAAAGCTTGATCAAAGCAGAATCTTCTGCATGTTGTGGCAAGTCACTTTAGTTCAAACGATTTTGAGACAAATGGAACACATATTTGAAGGCTTATGATCGAGTACACTCTCAAATATGCTTACAGGGTGCCAAACGATATATATATATATAGATAGATAGATGTCAACATATGAGCCCCCTTCCCACCTCTTCTTTTTTGATTGCTTTCAATCGGACACCAACCCGCAAAGGTTTGGACTTGGAAGTCTGTTGTACCTGAATGGCCTTCTCTGGACTGCAATAGCTTCTTGCTACTAGTAGCTATTTGCTCCTAGTAGCGATGCCCTTTGTGTCCCTCCCTTCCTTATACCGTAGACAGGTCTGCTATATTTCCACGTTCCTGCCCACCCACCCACCCACCCACTGACCGATCCACCCAATCAATCAACCAACAGAACAAGTCGTGTCACAAAAAGAATAACTAGTAGCTATATCTACTTTGGCACTGCCGCAAACTCTTCAATGATCATTTCTGTGGTCCACCTCCTTTGGCTTGCTCAGGTCGCCGCCCAGGTCTTCAAAGCCTCCAAATAGCCTCGTGCGAGGCTCCGAGCAACGGGTACCAACCGGATGACCACCTCATTGTTGAGGCACATCCGTCCACCGGCCACGGACACCCGGTTTTGGTGAACGAATCTGCATATGGGGGGGTCTTGTGATGGGTGCCCAATTTGGAGCTGCTGCGGCCGCGGGAGACTTGCTTGGAGAAGCTCGGAGGTCGGTGCAGAACAAAAGGACTCTCTATCCTCGGCACACCATGTTTTTCCGGTCTGCCCACGGCTTGGAGATCGTTTCTGGAGGCCCAGTGTTATGATTCAAGCCATTTCAAGCCTATATGGTGACCGAAAATCAACCCCTGGGTCTTTAGGTTCTTCAGCTGGAGTCTATCAGAGCCAGAGTCAGCCCCAAAGCCCAAAGTCCTGCACCAAGCTGCAGTCATCATCTAACAGTTCTACCATAGTACCTCAAACACGAGGACTTCCTAAATCACATGCAATTCACATTGTGACATACATTAAGGGCAAGGTCGAATGGGAACACATCAGAATGCCACACGCTAAGTTTGTGTGGCTATAGGGAGTGCATTTTCTACTTCAGAAACGCCATGGCTTGAGGGTGCGGTATAAAATAGAGTTACCATCACTCTATCCTGTATGCAGTATATGAATATGGTTCAGGGTTCTGTAATAATGTCACAGTTGTGATCTCTCAATGTCTACGCGCTTGTTGAAAACCCCAAAAGGTACCTCTCATGTCCTGGGCCTACGCCGCGGCTACCTTCATAAACTTGGTTGCTGGGCCTATGCAGGCTCCACTCTCCACACAATGAAGCACATCCAATGCATGGGGGGTCCAGAGACCATAAATCGCCCGTACAGGTCAAAGACCTCATTTTACTGGAGTTGGTCATACAACAGCACTTGGCCATAAGGTAAAGGTGTAGGGAGAATCAGTATTTCTTGATCAACGGTCGACCATTGCCCAAACAGCAGTTGCTTGAGTGACCAATGGCAACCCCGACCTGCCCTTCGTTCAACCCAACATGAAATAGACACAACTGGTATCCCACATACTCTCTTTTATTAAGCAATTACGACATGATCACACACCTGTGAGTTTCCACGTATTTATCCAATTTATCCCCGCACAACATAGATGTCTGTCAGTGAATACCTCTAGAAGCCGCGAACAGTGGCTCCATTGCTCCTACAGTAACAAAGGGCATCGCTACTCGTAACAAGAAGCTACTAATAACAAGGGCATTACTACTAATAACAAGTAGCAAGTGGCTCCATGTCGTCATCGCCAAGTCACGTGCATCGATGCTGGAAGCACCATAGAAGGCACCGGCCAATTGGCCTCAGCCGCAGAAAACACTCCAATCGGTTTGTGTTGCTAGTAGCGTCCTTGTTACTAGTAGCGATGCCCTTGTTGCTAGTAGCGTCCTTGCTACTAGCAGTAATGCACTTGTTACTAGTAGCTTCTTGCTACTAGTAGTAATGCCCTTGTTACTAGTAGCGATACACTTGTCACTAGTAGTAATGGATGTATAACCGTTGGATGTTGCTTAGTTACATGGTTGCATATATGGTTGCATACTTAAGTCACTGGAATACTCACTTGGTTTCCGTTGCCAACATTTGTACAGTTCTCCTAAGCACTGGTGCTGGATCTTCTTGCCATGCTATAACTACTTATAATAGTGATCTTGGTATAAATAACTTCCTGAAACTTGACACTTGTGGATGACACATCAGACCGCGTGAAACAGCTGCGTTTGGTCCAACTGGTGGTCCTGGACCGACGGCGGGGAGTTTGGTGGAGAGTCCCGAAAACTGATCTGGCTCTTTGAGGTTTTAGAACCTACAGCCTCTCAACCAACCTGGCTTAATTGCAAGAACCTGTTGTAGAACCTACAACAGCCAAGCGCAAATTAAAGCCACTTAAAGATATCTTTCTTCCATCCCCGTGATAGATGCTACCCCTCAACTGGAGGTGTCGTAGAAGGAAAGAAGAATGTAAAGCTCTCTAAGCTATACTATATAGAAAAAAAGTGTAGTTTCTATTCAATTTTCCTGATGCTATACATTTATAACAGAAGCTATTCAAGAGCCTGGCACACCCCCCGACCCGCCCTCACCTGCGATGGCACCCACCGTGTCAGCGTCCCCTAAGAAGTTCACGGCCTGTCAAGGATGAGATGCGGTAATTCGCTCAAACAATGATTGCACTTCATGTTTGTCAGATCATGTTGGCACAGCGCACCGCGTTTGATATCAAGGCATTGTCACACACACCACAACTAAGGGTACCTGTGCCCGTACCATAGTTTAGGAGTTTGTATTTTGAGCATACTTGTTCAGACTCTCAACAGCATGCTCCTTCCCGGCCCAAAAATCAACCGTTGGGATGTCTACACTGTGTATGTGTGTGTGTGTGGGTGGGATGGTCAATATCATCCTTTCAATGGATGACTGGATATGTCATTAACACGATCCACGTGAAAGTACCACCCACCTAGATCCACGCTAGCCGCTGCTTGTCCAAATGACCTAATCCAATGTCCTAATACAACTTAGGTAAGTGACACTGCAAGCACTGCCACATAGTGACCCTGTACTGTATTCCCAACAGTAACTTAACTCTGTATTGTTCTCAGCATGTTAAGGAAAGCATCTGTTGGGTTGCCCCACCCTTTTGATCCATCCTGCACCCACGGAATCCAAAAACAGATTCACTGTGAACCAGGAGCCAGTATGAGGGCAGTAGATTGTTAACATGGTCGGAGAACACTTCAGAAGAGGAACCAAACGACCCAAAACGCCCAAGCCCAACAAATCTAAACTGCTCCACTGCCTTCTCAATGGCCCGGTCAAAGCAACTGGGGGCGTCCAAGCGGTCCGGAACAGACCAATAGCTCCCCAAATGTGGGCTCTACATGGTATAAATAGCAGGGTACTGGTTGGTTTGAAGGCTACTTTCAGGTAAATACAGTATATGATAGTATATGTATTATATATATATACATCAATCTCCAAGGCTGGGGCCGGGCCCTACATACAGGTGTTCGTAGTTTAGGGAAGGTCCTATAGGTCCTAGAGTCCGTGAAGCAAGTCACCTGAGGCCATGCTCGAGAGGACATCTCTTGTCGGAAGACACCGGTCGTCGGAAGACACCGGTCTATGGGTGTCCAGTCATTCTTAGCTTTGCTATGAAGAAACTTACAAACCAAGACTGCGGCCACCCATAGACCATAGATCAAAGGATCACTTGATTCCGACTTGGAACTTGGAACATGTGGTCCAACAAACAATGTCCAGTTGGGTTCTGAGATTGATTGCTGGTTTCCACGTTTCTGCATCCTGGCCCATCACCAAGAACCCTTGAAGAATTCAGCCATCACGACCTAAGGGGTCATGTTCCTTTCGGCGTATTTTTTCACTGAGGGATGACATGGCTTTCGATCAATGGCCTTCTTCGGTCCAATAAGTTGCCACGCTCGTTCGGAATCTGTAACAAACAGATCCATGTAAGTCCCTCGTATTGAGGATCACATCGTATTTCCCCAGCATGCGATAGCTTGGGGTTGTATAATGTTGTATACTAGCCGCTGGGGTTCAAATGCCCCAAAAGGCTGGGGCATACGGGTGCC